TTAGGAAACCGCAAGTATCCTTACATTAGGCACTCTCAAAGCGCCACGCACTCACTGTTATTAAATAATTTAAATTAATACTTGCTCCTGTTGGCTGAGGGATGGAACATTCGCCGCATCACCGTCGTGTGTCGCGCAATCATATATATGAGTCCCCAACGAGTCTTGAAACTAGTCGACGTACTTCGTCCAACTTACTTAGAGAAAATACGAAGATTCCTAGATTCTGATGATATCTGATATAGTAACATTTATTTATTTATTTATTGAATGGTGAATCAACAGCTACATTACATACATTTAGCAGAAGAATAGTAACATTGAGCCACTTACAGGTTCACACGAATACTGACTTAATAGGTAACAGCTAAGACAAAATAAAAATTATAAATACACCAAAAACAGGCACACAGCAAGAAAATTATTTAAATATAGAAACAAAAGAAAGGTGAATACATATTTAAAATAAAAAAATAAAAAAACAAAAATCAGCTATTAAAAAAGTCTCCACTTATCATAGTTCTAGCTTTCCTCAGGCTTGTACAAAAGATATCTATATCATGCTTGCTACTGATGTCGTTAAAAGTACGACAGGCTCGACACAAGAATGAGTTTTGCCTGTAGTTACTGTTTGCTATCGGAGCATAAAGAGGTGCGTGCCTCCTAAAGGATTTCGATGGAACATTGAGGGACAACTTTTCAAAGAGTTCAGGGCAGTCAACTCTACTCTCTACATACTATAATAAAATGTAAAGAAATGTAAATGCAATACGAATAAATAAATAAAATTTCATTAGTATGTTGTCAAGATATTATTATCATAAAATGAATGTTTCTCTGACGGAAAAAAATTCACAGAAGCTTTAAAAAGTAAACATTGAATGCTAAGAAATTAATTTGCCTCTAGTCTAGTCAAAGGGACGACATGGCGTTAGCTGGAAGGTAAATAAACGAGGAGGATGGAGTTTGAAATACAAGGATCCTTTGAGGACCTGCAGTGTCATTAAATAGAGAGATTAAAAAAATTCCAATGGTATTTACAATATTGGAAGTTTACCGAGGAAATGAGTTCCGTACTGCATTTATTACGAAGTTTGTAAGTAAAATTTGTTTGTTCTCATTTCTCTGAGTTCTTTTGATATCCGAGAGGTACGACTTGCTCGTTGAATGTTTTCTGTAGTTCTGTAATGTTTTAAGCATTGGACACTTCGGCTACGACTTTCCCTCTAATGAATTCAGTGCCGCAAGTATCGCTCACAAAAAAGTTGTTGACATTTCAAATATATTAGTTACATCATGTTCGTTCAATCGAAGAGTTCTTCCTAACTAGTGAAATTTTGAAATTTCACAAACGGTAACTAGTTTTCTATGCATTTTTTTAAATATGACAGCTTTGTATTTACTCATAAATTAGCTAAAAACTTAGCAACACTAAGATGAATATTAAACAATTGAATGAGATTATATTTTTTTGTACAATTAATTTATTTTTGTGTATCCAAGAAATTACCAATTGCAAATGATTGTTTTGTAGTCTAACCGTACTTTGCTATCTGATCTGTACCTAGTTTCAAGACTAGGTTTAATTATCAGTGCTGCTTTTGAAACACGAACAACGCAGGACTGGAACGCGATCTCTACTAAGTCTAAGGCTAAGACCTCACTAAGCAGTTTACATCCGCTCCTGCCGCGGTGGCGGAATGGACGTTTATTTTCAAAAGTCATGAGACCGTTTGTGTTTGTGACTTTACCCAGCCGCCACGGTTGCGATAATCGACCGCAACCTTGGCGGTCGATTATGGTAAGACGAGCGGTTCGCGCGATCCGCCCCCGCCGGTAGTAGATAATAATCACCGATGCAGCGGGATCCGCAAATAATCGCAGACGCCTCGGGCGTAAAGTACGTCGTGAAATGGGCTTTAGTTTTTTTACTAAAATATCTGTATTCTACAAAAGCTGTGGGAAACCATCGTTTTTCTTCTTCTCCACTTATAATATCTTCTGATTCACTTCGTTGCGGGAACCAAGACAGTTACTCATGTCCGGTGTTTTCATGGTTGTATCTATTGTAGATCCTGGCTGGTTTAGGGAGGTTGTGGCGGGTTTGTCCCATTAAAAAAAAAGCTGTGGGCTCGCAACCGCGGCGGGTGCGGGTAAAAAACGCTTCGTGATTCGTCACCCTTAGTTTCTTAGCACCTATTAAACGATTGAAGGAACTAGAGAAATTAGTTGTAAACTACTTCTAAGGCATCTTGCACTTGCTTTAACATTAATAGCCAACTGAAATCAAAGTGTAAAGAGATCTTATACTTCAATATACTCTTATTTGAAAGTTCTTGATTCGATTTATATTTGCTGTGACATCTTTTTGAAATAAGTATGAACCCTTATTGGGAATGGTTTGGTATGATTTTACAGAAAAGATTTTCAATTTAGAACACGTTTTGTAATTTCGTGCGTAAAATTTAAAGATTTTTTTTTTTGGTATAATCCGATATAATGAGCAGACAGATCACCTGATGGAAAGTAATCAGTGCTGCCTATGGACACACGAAACACCGGCGCTTTGAGGATTACCTAGGTATTTGAGGATTGGAATTGGGGAGGGTGGTAATTGGGCCTGCGGTAACCTTACACACATGACAAAACACACGATTAAAAAAGAGATGAAATAATTGTGTACTTTGTATGCGTGCCATCAGGTGGTAATCTAGTAACTATAACAGCTTACTTAGTTAATAACATGAATGTTACACGTCTATTTTTTTTTAATCTTCGGAAGTCTTTTATAATTCTTTGCTTGTACGTTGTCCTCTAATGAAGTTTGGTTATACCATGTCCATAGCATAAAGTTAGGGTATACAAACTGACTAAACACAGATACATAGTTATTTAGATGTGTGTGTCTACATACGCAATCATACGCGTTTCAGGATTCAGTGGCTACCAACTATGTATTGCTTGAGCAGAGTTATGTCGACAAAGGCTATGTAGATGATATGCCTAAGTCTCAAATCAGCCAAATACCAAGCAGGTATGCCAATATAAGATAGACAGGGGTGGTAATAAGGTAATTAATATATATAGTACAGAAGTGCATTATAATTATAAATTAATTTAAGAAAACACTGCTCGTTGGCCGAGTGGGGCAAAGTATTACTGGGTTTAAAAACAATTCTCAGTAGTAGCAAGGAATCTAGAAATGTGCCCGGTATATGGCAATAGGCTCACCCCCTATTACATGGGACTCATAACATAAATAGTGAAAATTGGTTGTTACATTATACAGTGGCATAATGTGCACCTCTGCCTACCCCGTTGGGGATAAGAGGCGTGATGTTATGATATGTTTTAAGAAAACAACCTCAGAACCTCATATTAATTAGACATACGACAAACAATGTGACAGTCATTCAAAGAAAATAATAGGATTAGGTATTACAGTTTCTCTTTGTGGCGAGTGTGCAGAATTAAGATCTTCGCACATCTAACATGTACGGCTCCGGCGCGGCTCCGGGACGGCGTTGTTTCGAATTTGCCTACCGCTAGCCGCCAGCACGCTGGAAGCCCGCGGACGCGTCAACCACAACTCGAGAGGACCACGCGCTGACCACCTGACGTCATTTTTTTGTATTGTCGTTATGAAATATACCATACGACAAAAGTTATAAAGTTCATATTTAAATGACAATTGATTGGAGCCGTGTCGAAGCCGAGCTTCTTACGATGCATCGTGTGCAATGCCCTTTTACTTCCACAACGACACACGTTTGCAATAATTATATTTGATTACAGTAACAATTGCTTGCAATTTTCAACTTTATTGTGTTTACAAACGTATAGAGAAAAGAGTTCATGACGTAATAAGCAGAAAAATGTATTGTTTTATGTACGGGGAACAAAGCGTAGTTTGTCCATGGTAACCCATGCCCAGAGCGCATTGCCCATGGCTTTTTTACTGAATATTTCGTTAACATCACCGAATAATGCAATCCTGACAATAGCAATCCGGCTATTCTCCACATCCTATTGTTTCAGCCCTCGCAAAATAAAAACAATGGACGAAAACGCAAATTGCATTCAATTAATTGAATGTCTGGTATTGAAATTTGAATGGCAGGTGTAATTTCTGTGGTTACTGCATACAAGCCCAGCGGCCTCTGTTACCTACCTACATATGTATCTATAGATATTTATTTGTTTCATTTTAGAGAGTAAATAGCGTTGTATGCAGTAATATAGACTTTATTTGCGTTAGGCTACATACCACTATCAAAAAACGATTTGAACATTAAAAATATACGCAAATATTCAACTAAACTTAATAGATACTTTGTTTTACCAGTTCTTTAATCTTGTATTTTGCGTGACATCTCAAAGAAGCTGAACTGATTTCTCTGAAGAACAAAACTGTCTTAGTTCTTGATGTGGTCTTTGAGGATAACTCTGACAGTCGATAAGGGTGAACAGTGAATGTCGTATATCTAGAAAACAAAGGCAAATAACAGACAGTGCACATCGTACGGACATGTGACATCAGTAGTTACGGTAACAGTGACATCCAGTGGAATTTAATTAAAACACTTCAAAAGGCAAGCGAACAGGAAGGCAGGCTTTTGTATAGAATAATTGTGAACTACAATTCGTTTGTGACGGAGATAGGGCGCGAGGTGTCGCGCAGTCAAAGCGTGTGTGAATGATCGTGCGTCGAGCAAAGCACCGAATTCCTAACAATAGATTTGAATGAGAATGACGCTGCGCTACAGCGTGATATGAATAGTCCTGTAGAAAACACATCCATCTGAATGCAGTAATAAAGAACATGAATAGAAAAACAAATAAAGTGTGTGTTTCGTAAATACAAACAAACAAGGATTCTGTAAAAGATATCTTGCATTTTTGGTCTATTAAAGGGCTACTTAGTAAAAAACTAAACTAACTTGGACGCAAGATTAAGTTAACAGCCTTAAACAGTTTCTATAGCCTATATTCTGTTGCAGGAGGTCGTGCTAAATGAAGACACAATACAGATGGACAGGTTCGAAGAGATACCCTTCTCATTGAACTTCACTGTGATGATCTTCAACATCACCAACCCTCAAAGTGTGTTGAACGGCGGCGTGCCATTCGTCACTGAAGTTGGACCATATATCTATAGGTATGTGCCTTAATTAAATATTTTATAACCTAAAAACTTTAGTGCATGTGCCGTGTAGTGACGGCAAGATTATTTGCCATTTAACTGAGACCGGGTAGAAGCGCTCTGTGACAATCCCTGAACCTTTTAAAAAGCGATCTCTAACCCGCCTACGTTGTGCCGAGCATTAAGTTAATGACTAACCGTTGCATTGAGGAGGCCTTTAGTCCAGAACAGGCCAGAAACTCATCTACATGTGTTGTGATCATATAAGTTTTAATACACACTTTAGATTGGCTATACCCCTACACCGCATGCTTGCTAATCTACAAGTTCAAAGCCATCATAATTGATTCATATTGTCGATGCAGGATTAACTTGCCAGCGCATATTGGCAATCTCGCCCTCAACGACTAGCGGCTTGTAGCATAATTTATTTCGTCAAAGCCTACGTTAGATATATAAGTTTACTCAAAAATCTATGCTATCTTATTTATTAGAAGCTAACTTTTAAACAGGTTAGTTTACTTTGATGTGTTATTTCTGTAAGCCTACATTGATTTTATATTTATAAACAGAACCACATAAGACACTGGTAGCCTTCTGCTCTCAAACGGAACGTGACATTTATGAAACTGTAGTTTTCATCGCAAACATCATCTCTTTATTTACCCGTTTTAAATTTCTTATAAAATGTAGTAGGAAACACAAAACACTTCTTATTTAAAAGGAGTTCATCTGTAAAAAAGAGTTTGATGTGAGAATTGTTCTATGAACGGAACTCAAGCTTTGCCAAGTCCTTTTTCTCGTAGCCTCAGATTGAGTTTCAAGGAATTATATCGTGCCTGCAAGGCGGCACGAGATCAGGTTCCACCATTATTTAATCATTCCGAGCGAGAGAGCAACAGAGTGCGTTATTTTTAAATAAAATGTAAAAGAGAAATGCAATGTGGAGGCGCGGCATGGGCGGGATGGAGGGTGGATAGGTAGTCGCGGCCCCGCGCGCGCCTCCACGCTGACGTACTCACCTACCACCCTCCCCATCCTCCACAACTGAGAGATTAATAAATTATTTTTCTAAAAATCTTATGTAAAAAGCCGCTTTACTAAGAAGACAATATCATCCATCGTCGTCTTGATTGTTTCGTTAATCGGTTTAACATGTGCATTCAAAGGAATTCCTTCAACTTGCGAATAGAACTGTAGGACATAGTATTACTGTGTTGTTGGGCGTCTGTGTTCAGTCATGTCTTAAACTATCCGAGCGACGTGTGTAGCCAGCGAGTGCTTGAATGAGCACCGTGGCTAATGTACACGCTATGCACACAGACATTTGATGGAAACTTATTTTGCAGGTTGTACCAGACTCGGGAGATACTTGGAATTGACGGTGATATAATTAGGTACAAGAGACACGAGCACTTTGTCTTTGACCCCGTCCTCTCGTTCCCACGTACAGAAGAAGATATACTGACTATCATCAACGTGCCGTACCACGTAAGTTCTATATCATTCAATGATTTACTACTAATTTGTAAATAATAATGTCAGTAGCAATTGTGGGTGTGTATGTAATGTACCTACCTGTGGCCAAATCCGTTATGCTTCGAATATGTTGTCGCCGTCCACTGCGTGGTATAACAATGGCACCGATCAATTATGTAGTCGGAATTGTTATTACAATAACATGTGAACAGGAGCAGGCTGTCAATTGTATGACCGTTGATTTGTGTAGGTTTGTTTGGAACACTGAATCTCCATATTGAATCACTAAATGAGAAAACAAATAACTAATGTAAAGGTATATGTTCATGTGTATTGTCATTGTTATATGCTTGTAGGTATCTCCGTAAAGATTTCCTCCTCCGCAATCCTGTGTGGATCAGACAGCAATCTGCACTGGGCCTAATGAGCCCTTTGTACTGTTCACAGTAACATAATAATTGGTGCATAGGGTTGAATCATGCGTGTTTCTATTACATGCGGCCAGCACACGCTTGCGTCCAATTATGCTATGCGAGTGAACTATATGATATGTACGTATGTACACTATTGTACACCTGCGTCACTGAACGGGACCAAAATGAAATGCAAGTAGGACGCCTATGCGCTTTAAATGCTCTGCGATCGACACCACAGCGAATTTGTAAATTCGAATAGTTTATTATTTGAAATTGTGCATTTTTTTTGAATATTTTTCTCATTTCATTAGTGTAAGTCCTGGTTATACTCGTAGGTATTCGCTGCACAGGGTGTATTGAAATAGAATTTCAAAGCAAAATGAACAGATTTCTAAGAAAATAAAAAATGAAAAATATCAGGGTGCTTTTAAAGGGGAAATGTTGCTACATTATGATTGGAATGGAGTGGGCATTAAGCCGTCTGTCTGCTCTTTGGTATTTCATCATGATATTCTTAGTGTACCTTTATAGATGATAAGAATGAAATATTATTATGTTCCACCCCTAAATAGATTGTGGAAGGCAGACTACGGAACAGAAGGCTACGGTATACTTTTAAACGTGTTCTGCCAATCACTTGCCGCATCAATTACATTTCAAAATTATCTCTGTCTAGAATCCCGAGCCTTCGTGTTTCGAGTCATGGTATTTTAGTAACAGTAATAATATATTTATCGGTACCAGTGTAGTTGACTTTCAAAAATAACGTGCGCACGTTAAATATTTGTTAGGAATAATCTAAATGTATCGATTGGTTTACTTTCTATCTACCTAAAATATAGCAAGCTTTTGTCCTATATCTAGTTTTGATATCGGATAACTTTTGAGACTCATTTACATAAACAAAGAAGTGGCATTTGCATAATTTTAAATTATTTCCAACACACATTAAACACCTCTAAGTGTTACATTGTACAGTGGCTTTAAATGACGTAATGTGAGCCTCTGTCTACGCCTCCGGTGATAATAGACGTGGTGTTATGTTATTAAACACTTTACAATAAAAAATGACTAAGTAATTACTTTAACACATTACTTATTTAAGATTTCAAAATTCGTTGGTTTTATAACAAATCTCTGTACTTTACCCTAACAAATCTCAATTTCGCTGAATAAATAGAAAAACAACATTAAACGTTGCTTTACGTAAGATTTTCGACTATCGTCTCGGCGTGAGCTAATTTTGGCTCCGAACAGCTGTCTTATCGTGGTGTAGAAATTTCCAAGCAACAAGTAGGGTGGTAAGGTTGACTGGAGTTTCATATGTATGTACATCGGTATAGAACTAAGTACGAAGTTTTGAGTTTTAGCAACTATTCACTTAGCAGATTTAATAGTCTACTTGTTTAAGCTCCCTGCAGTTATAGGTAAAGGTAAATTTTCATAGACTTTATAATATTAGGTATTTTATGTAGTAGTATTGTTAAATGTATAAAGAAATCATTAAGATTGATCACTTGACAAATTGAGGAGCACATACTAACTATCGAGCTTATCACATTACCTAATGTGCTGTGTCGGACAATGATGATTTTTTTTAAATAATTTATGCCCCACACTAGGATTTTCTCCTGTGTCGTGGGTGCGTTTACAAACATACAAGTTCACATACACATGACACCCAGACCCGGAACAATAATTTGTGGATCACACAAAGAGTTGTTCCGTGCGGGAATCGAACCCGCGACACGTTGCGCGGCAGCCAGTTGCCCAGCCACCGCGCCAACCGTGCAGTCAGAATGTGATATATACTGTAGAATTATGCGAAAAGATGTCTTAACTTAAACTTACTGTGAATAAATGTATATTAATCTGTATTTATATGGTTAAAAGTTATAAGTCGACGTACTTGAAGAAATTCTTGTTTGTAACTATATACTAATCAATAGATAATTATTTGTCTAATACATGAATGGGTGGAAAATATTTAAACAGTAGTTATCAGTAATAAACAAGATTATGGACAGATTAAAATTGCGTTATATTGATAGTATTGTTTATCTACATTTTTAGCTATTTCTTAATAGTGTTTACATCGATCTATAGGTACCTATTAATATTGTTATTATATATTATTATTTCTGTTTGACACCATGGGGAGCATTTAAATTCAAATTTTTGATTAATTGTTTATTGTTTTATTAAGACCTAGCTTGTGCCCGCGACTTCGTATGCGCAATTCCGTTTCTCCCATTCCCGTAGGATTTTTAGGACTTTTTTCTATCGTAAGAACCTCTTGACGATAACAAACACAAAAAAAAATCAGTCAAATCAGTTTAGCCGTTCTCAAGTTATGGCGTGACAACGGGAAACGGGTTTCATTTTTATATATTATCTAGATTTCAGTGGGATAAAAAGTATCCTACCACCTAAGTGAGCCCACCCTGCGTGTATACCAAGTTTAATCAAAATCCGTTCAGTTGCTCCAGCGTGATTGACGGACAAAAATCCGAACATCAAAACAAAGAAACTTTCACATCTATATTATGTATATAAAAGAAAGTCGTGTTAGTTACACCACTTATAACTCAAGAATGGCAGAATAGATTTGGCTGAAAATTGGTAGGGAGGTAGCTTAGAGCCAGGAGACCGACATAGGATACTTTTTAACCAACATTTTTTTTTTACTTTTTACCGAAAATCATGAACGGGGACGGGAAAAAATGGGATTACGCGTACGAAGTCGCGGGCAGAAACTAGTATGTATATAAAAGAAAGTCGTGTTAGTTACACCACTTATAACTCAAGAATGGCAGAATAGATTTGGCTGGACATTGGTAGGGAGGTAGCTTAGGGCCAGGAGACCGTAATAGGATACTTTTTAACCAAATTTTTTATTTTACTTTTTACCGAAAATCACGAACGGGGACGGGAAAATATGGGATTACGCGTACGAAGTCGCGGGCAGAAGCTAGTTTGTAATATTATGATTTGAAAGATTTACGTTCGTTTATTTACTGCAGTCAAACAAATGGTTTGAGTGTTAATTTTCCAGGTCGAGTAAAATTCATTGCAGTTTTGATTTCGAAGCTTCCAATGGCCAAGTCTAGAACTGAACTATGTAATATATGTTATAGATATAAATAAGGTTTCGTGTATATCCCATAGAATTAGATACACGTAAACACGGCTACACATCGAGCTTTACAAAACCAGTATAAACTGAACGTTAAATGTGCGGAAAGATGATGCGACGCGACATCAGGATAAACTGGTTTTGTATAGATTGATGTGTGGTCGTGTGTTCGTGACGTAAAATTTTTTTTAGGATAGAATTTTTAGGTCGTCCAGTTCATTCGTACAAACGAAACGTGATTTAAAATTTAAAAGCTAAAGTAAACAGGAAAAATATTTGAGATATGAAATATATGTGAAAATTGCACTAATAGAGGTCAGGCAGAATTTTTCATTTTTAGTGCACATTTTCGTTCTGAAATAGTTTGAAAGTGGCGAGGGCCTGTCTAAGTGCTCGCTGCCAGCAGCTGCCTGCCAAGCTTTGGGTATTTGACATGCACTGCAAACAGATTTTTAGTAAAATAAATTCACCAACCTATATTTAGAAGTACCATGGACTGCCAGACGAACAAATAAGTCAATCCTGGAACAGCTCAATATAAAGACTAGACTGTCGACCGTATGTTATCAGCGAATTCTTGGATATTTTTCAGTCAGATAACCTCGACAAATTGGTTATTGTTTGTAAGGTGGAAGGTAAAACACGTGGGTGATCACCTAGCCGATGGTGTGACCAAGTTACCAATTACACTGGACGCTCTGTTACGAAAGCCCTGAGAGAAGAACACAGGAGAAGATGGAGGGAAATAACACAGAGGGCAATGAAAGCCTTTCAGGGACAATGAAACAAGCAATCGAGAAGAATATTTAGAAAAGAGAAAGGCTATATTTAAGTAAAAAATCAATTATATATCTGACTGTTGGATAGTCATTAAATTTTAAAACGTTCCGCTAATTACTAGAATTATCTAAACGTACCTAAAAACTTATGATGTCGTGGTGGCCCGGAGGTTTAAGACGCCCACTTCTCATGCATGAGGGTGCAGGTTCGAAACCTACCAACGGCAAGTACCAATGTGACTTTTTCCGAGTTATATGTACTTTCTAAGATTATTTAGACACCACTGACAAACGGTGAAGGAAAAACATCGTGAGGAAACCTGGACTTATAATTTCTAATTATAAGTTTGAAATCGCCAACCCGCATTGAGCAAGCGTGGTGATTAATGCTCTAACCTTCTCCGTGTGAGAAGAGGCTTTGCTCAGCAGTGGGCATTTATAGGCTGTTGATGATGACCTAAAAACTTGAGTAGACATTTCCCTATAAGTTATAAAAAATATATATTACTTTGTATACTACATGTAAATAAGCAGATTAGTACCAGGAACTCATATCGTTGGTAGAGTTAGAACTGTTTTGTGTTACGTCATCATTCGCGTTGAAGCGTGAGTCCATGACCTGCCTTAACGTATTTATTCAGAGCCTGCCAAGCGCAATAATCATTCTGCGTCGCTTCCTCT